CTATTAGTATGATTTATGCTTACCAGGCGAGGCCTGATGTCTGGCGGGGCCCGATGACTGTATGGTGTGCTATAGTCTTTGTGATTATTGCATGTGCTAGTATGGTTATATGTTTATATGATTATATGTTATATGGTAATGTGTGTATCGGGCGTAGCTCGATGACGGGGCGAGGCCCGATGACTGGAACATATGCTAGTGTTATGATCATTTTATTTGTTAGCATGATTATGTGATATTTTGTATGTGTCTGGTGGGCGAGGCCTGAGAATAACAGATCTGTAATCCGAGCAGGGCTCGATGCCGAGCGAGGCTTGATGTTGGGTGGGGGCCCAGTATGTGATTTATGTATGTGTGGTATGAGGTATCTCAGGGAACTCACTAAGCTTTATGCTTACGGTTTTCAGTTTATGTTTCAGGTACTTCGGTTTTCAAAAGGAAGAGCTCGGGTTGACTGCATGACACATACACTTTATGTTCGGTATTTGACTTTTCTATGATTTATACTCTGATTATAATGTATCATGTTTTATTTAAACAAGTAATTGATGATTCTTCTTCTATAAATAAACGAAATTTTATGTCCATATTTTGGGGACGTTACAAATACATTACATATAACAACTATGGGTTATCAGCAACCCTGGAGACTACCCAAAGTCTCAATGGACAAACAACATTCCATGTGGGTTATCAGCAACCCTAGAGACTACCCAAAGTCTCAGCACACATAAGGTAACACATATCACAGTAATAGCACATAGACCCAGTTTTTCATCGTATATATATACACACTACCATACAGGTAAGAATAAGTGAGGAACTCACCTTGCACAAATGACTGATAAAACTCACACCCGAATTGCCGGAACTAGACTCCGCCTAATAATTACACCAATTAACCCTAATTAATAATTAAGGTAATTTTTCATACTTCACTAATACCAAACCAAGTCTAACCCATAATTTGGACAAAAGACCATTTTTCCCCTCCTAAGATCCAAAACCCTCACAACTTGTCAAATGACACACTTGGTCAAAAGTCAATGAAAGTCAACGGCGGCCGTACGCGCGGAACACACTTCTCTATGTTGGGTGTAGGGCATTGGGCAGGAGGATTCGGGTTCACAATTGGCTACGTTGAGCGTAGCCAGAAGTATGTTCGGCGTACACGCCAGATTCCAACATTACACTATTTAGGGTCTTAAACATTAAGACACTTATTCAAGCCTCAGATCTGACCATAAAGAGACATTTTAAACCATAAAGTCTCTAAATTTAAGCCTTTTCATGGCTATAAAGAGCTAAAACCCAAAACCCTAACATTTCACTTCACTAAGGACTCCATAACTCTTGCATGGGAGAAAGAAAGGGCCAAGCTAACATTTTTATGACTCTAAACATCTTAGAACGTCTGAAAGGACAACTTATAAGCTCTAGAGTATTCCATACTCACAAAGATCCATATTTTGGGACAAAATGAACTCAAATCCAAGACCAAACAAGATCAATCGAAATAAGCTCCAAGGTTTGAACTTTATACCTAAAAAAGGTGGACAAGGAGATGAAGATTCTGGATCTAGAAACTAGGATGCACCACCACATTTTGAATGATCTTCTTTCTCTATCAACAATACTTAAGAATCATTTTCAAGCTTCAAATCTCACTCATAAAAGCTAGGGGGTCGAGTCCAATAGGGATTATGAGGCTTAAATATGGGCCACAACCCAAAAGATTAGGGTTTAGGGAATGCACGAGTATGCCCGACGTGCACACATGTACGCCCAGCGTACGCAAATGTTGACCCGCCACAATGTGTTGACTTACGCCCGACGTATGACTTTGTACGCCCAACGTAAGGACCTCTTTTGCAAACTCTTAAAAACCTAAGGGCCTGGGAAAGAAAATACCTGACAACGGGTGTTATAAGGATCCATAAAGTTGCTAACTTTATGGAATCCTACCATTCCAACAAGCTCATCTTTGAAGAAAAGGGGACAAAAACCTAGATCTAGAGACATAGAACAATAAAGCTTGGATCTTGAATACTTACAAGAGTCTAGAATATAAAATAGAAGATGATGATGAGGTTTACAAGCTATATCGATCCACCAAGTGTGCTTCCTTCTCCTTCAAAACACAAAAACACCAAAAAAAGCTCAAGGTCTTCAACAATGGAGGCTAGGGTCGGATGAGATAAGATCTCAGGGGGGTGGAGGCTGCCAAATGAGGCAACCCTAGGAGTTAGTGCCCTTAAATAGGGAACCAATCCCGAAATTAGGGTCTTGGCCCAAAATGGATGTCATGTCGTGGCAAACATACTACCACGTTGTGGCATCGCACCAAAAACGCGTTCTTCTCAGCCAATGCCACATCCTAGCCATACAAAAATTCCAAAATATTAAATGATTAACTTATGAAAAGAATACCTACAAACTGGATGTTACAGCAAGATTGGCCATTACCATTAATGATTACTCTCCAATCGTCAGTCAAATTCTTTTTCATATTGAACTCATTTTATTTTTAAATTGATTCTTTTAATCTATTTTTTGTAGTCTTTTTTTTGCAACAATCGATTTCTATAATCGTTTTCTGCAACAATCGCTTTTTGTAATCATTTTCTGCAATAATCGTTCAGGAAATCTTTTTTCTGTAATTGTTCCAATAACCCATTTCATTTACTTGTTTTTTGAATAATCGATGCATTGTTGTGGTTTACTACAACAATGCCTAGACATCCTTCCAAAAGAGAGTATTTGAAGTTTTATATAAGGGATATTTGAAGAAGATTATGTTAGGGATATGGATTTCATGTTTGTGGGTTATCCTTACTGATATGAATTTCATGTGTGTGAAAAAAATTTGAAATTTTCCGGTTGCTATTTATCCTTGCTACTATATAACTGTTCATACGATTTCTTAGTTACCTAAAGTATATTTTCTATTTTCTTAGTTACCTGGTTTTAACAAATATGAATTTCATTGCAATAATTGATCCTTACTGTTATATATTTAATTGTACTATAGTTATTCTTTAACTGTTTAAATCCATTCTCTATTTAGTTTGATCTTATTTTTTACAATTTTTTTCTATTTAAATCTACACAATTACTCAATTGCTTTCTATTTTTTATTTTGCTTGATTATTATCTGTTTCATATGTTTTCTTATTTACCTGATACGCATTGTCTTTTTTCTTAGTTACCTATTATTAACTTAATATGTTATTGTCTTTTTTCTTAGTTACCTAGTATTAACTTAATATGTTTTCTTAGTTACCTGGTATGCATTGTTTGTTTTCTTAGTTACCTGTATTAACTTAATGTATTTTGTTTGATGTGTTCTTGTAGTGAGACTCACGATCAAATTCAACAACTTGTGCAACCAGTGGCGAGTCAAGAATAGAAACGTATGTGGTTCACTATTTAAATAAACCGATATATATAAATAAAGTAGTAAAAAAAATACGGGTAGCGGGTCGGGTCATATAAGGAAAAACGATTTAAATCTCTAGTAATTGTATCCAACGAGGTCTAATATCTTTAAATATTTTGACAATTGAATTATTACTAACACTATATAAAATAATTTTTTTAATATATGGCATAAACTATAACTCAAAACTTATATTGGGTTATTTTCTTAATGAGTATTTAAGTATTTGGGCTTTTGAGATATAAGATGTGAGCTTTAAAAGTTATGATTTATATTTAACTTCTTTATCAAACAATTTAAGTAGGAATATCAACGGGGGCAAACGGGACGGGGATTGCATCCCCCGCCCCTGCCTCCGAAATTTCCTCGTTCCCCCGTCCCCGCCCCCGCTCCCGAAATGTTCAGCCTTCCTACCCTCGCCCCTGCCCCCGAATCCCCTTTATTACCCCCGCCCCCGCCTCCGATTGATTTTCGGCTGTCTTTTTTTGGGTTAAAAGAAGTTGTTGTTTAGGCTAAAAAAACCATTTTTTAGTAACAAATAATTATTTATAGCAGAATTTTACATGTTAAAAATAAAAAAGTTATGGCATCTTAAAAACATTATGCTAACAACTTAAAAACATGTTTTTTGATGAATTTTGAAAGCTCAAAATCATGCTATTGTTTATTATATTTATATAATTAATATATATAAGTATATGTGTAATTTATTAACGGGGTCCCCATGGGGGTTTCGGGACGGGACTGCCTGCCCCCGCCCCCGCCCCCGAAATTAAAATGGGGGTTAACCTTGCCCCCGCCCCCGATTTTATTAAAAAAATTCCCCCAAACAGAACGGGGCCCCCACGGGAACGGGTCCCACGGGACTTTTTGACATCCCAAAATTTAAGGTAGATCACTCCCAAAATTTTAGATGGTACCAACTATTTCAGCAAAATCGGGTTTGGGGCAGGATTCGCAAAAATTCGAAACTTCAGGGACCCATGTTGTAAATTTGGTTTAAAACTCCCCCATGGGACGATGAGGTTATACGCACTACGCAGCCAAATACACTCGTTTCTTGTAGCCCATATACGCGTATTCTTTCCCCTGTTGTGTATAAATAATTAAATATGATATTATTCGATAATTCAAAGCCCTAGTGTGAGTGAGCAGCCAATACTTCATAGAAGGAGAAAGAGAGAGCCGGGAGAAGAGGAGAGAAATACGGAATTGGGAAAAAGAGAGCGAGGAAGAAAGGTGTGTCTTGGTATCGACCAAGCACGTAGCTTTTTGCAGAGTTGTCTTTATCGCTGTTTAAAAATAATTAACTTTTGATTTTTTTTATTTTAATTTTGAAAAATGTCAACCCTTTGAACGTGGCTTACAGCATCAATACAAACTCAGCCCACTCGTGCAATTCTTTTATTCATGATTTTCACACCAAAAAAGCGCGTCTGGCATTGACAAATGAGGACTCCAGTCTGTAGTTTAGGGTAAACAATTGAAAGAGGTCAACATCATATCAGAAAATCTTCTTCGATTCTTTATTCCATTAAGAATAAAAAAAGAAAGCGCAAAAATGTCTGCTTGTTTTTGGGTATTCACAACCCTCTACTTATACACATCAAATGCTTCTCCGATCACCGGTATTTCCAGTTCAAAAACCATCGAGAGCCTCGCTACAAATCAACAACTCTATGATGGGGAAACCTTAGTTTCTCCAGATCAGCGATTTGAATTAGGTTTTTTCTGCCCTTCAAATCCATGCAAAGATGTAAAATTCTTGGGAATTTGGTACAAAAATATAGCACCGACTACTGTTGTTTGGGTAGCCAATCGGAAAAGGCCAATTCGAAGAACGTCTTCAGGTGTACATTTGATGCTCGACGATTCTGGGGTTTTTGTTATTCAAGATGGTAGTAAGCGAGTCATATGGAGGAACCCTCCCAAGAGTTACTCTCCATCTGCGGGTCGAAAACCAGTTTTGCAGCTTTTGAAATCTGGAAATCTTGTGGTTAGAGATTGTGATATTAATCTTTCTTGTGGAGGATACATCTGGGAAAGCTTTAATCATCCCAGTGATACATTATTACCAGGGATGGAGCTCAGTCTGGATTATGGATCTAGGCTTAGATATCGTGCAATCACTTCATGGAGAAAGAAAGATGATCCATCTGATGGCGATTTTAAGTTTGGCTTTGATAGATCGGTTCAAGCTCCCCAATTGGTGCTCACGAAAGAGAATGGGGTTCGACTCTCAAGATGGGGTCCATGGGATGGTCAAAAGTTCAGTGGTATGAATTCATTAATGGATAATCCAATTTTGTCACCCACATTGAGGTTTGATGATGACCAAGTTTCTTTGAAATTTGAGGCATTAAACCAGTCGATCTTATTGAGGTTGGTGTTAAGTCCACTAGGGAGTCTGCAGTTCTTGTGGTGGAAGAGTAGAAATGAAGGTTGGATAACAATTCTGACTCTAAATAAAGATAATTGTGATCGAATTGGATCATGTGGACCTTATGGTATATGTTATAGTGATGATCCAAGTTGTAGATGCTTGGAAGAAGGATTCATGGCAATTTCGTCAGTGGATTGGTGTGGATTTGAGTGCTCAAGTGGATGCAAGAGAAAAAATGATCTGAATTGCACTGCAGGAGATGGGTTTCTGAAGTATGAACAAATGAAGCTGCCTGATAATTCATCTGTTTGGGGTGCTTTAAGTATCAACGAATGTGAAAATAAGTGTGCAAAGGAATGCAGTTGTATGGCATACACTAGCTTGAACATGTATGGAAATGGGAGTATTATTTGTGTGGTTTGGCTTGATGATCTTATTGATCTACGAACAGTTCATGGAGGTGGAAATGATATTTACATTCGCATGTCACACCTCGAGCTAGGTATCCAACTGTTAACTAATTTCTTTTGATTTTCGTTTCCTTTTATTTATGTAATTATAGTTACCTTAACTCTTGAGGACCCCTATAAGGTTTAGACTGTTGAAGATTATCTGAAACTCTTTTTTCTTGCTTGACAATGTGTTGCTGTTAGTTCAACCGATTTTGAAGTACTGTTTCATTATGGAGTTATTTGCTTGGCTCTCAAGTTAGTTGTCTATTAAGAATATTTTTGGTTATTTAAGTTTCATTAAGACTATTTGTAAGGTCATATATAAAGCATTAGATCTCATATTTTTATTCATTCCTTTATCTCTTTTCTTCTCCTTTCAGTTTTGCATAATCCTCATCATTTTTGAACTCATCATTATGGTAAACACAATGTGCAGCTAGAACTATATGATCTTCTTCAGTTCATTACCTTTTTAGACCTCAAAGTGTAAAACAAAAATTGTGTTTCAATGACATTAATTTACTACACTATTTTTATCTGATCACAATCTATAATCTACTTGTTTGATTTTCTTTGAAATGTTTTCGTACTCAGATTCCATCATCCACAAGACGAAGAGGAAGAAAGTAATATGGGTTGCCTCTATTGTTCTCTTGTCAACAATTATTGCTTGTGCACTTCTACTTATTATCATAGTTCGATATTTTACTATGCTAAAAAGATCAAAGACAAGAGGTAATGCCCTTTTTATCTTTCACATATCCTATATATGCCTGCAGCTTTTTTGCCATAACCTTTGTATTCTGTAAATTTGCCACAATATATTCAGCATTGGAACAGGAACAAAGTCCATTGACAGAATTTGGAGGATCTCAAGAGGAAGATTCAGATTGTCGTGTCTTTGAATTGGATGAAATTGCCACTGCAACTAATAACTTCTGTACCTCTAATGAGATTGGCTCAGGAGGTTTTGGTAGGGTCTATAAGGTAAATTTCTTTGATGAAAGCCATATTTCCTGAAGAAAAAAAATCAGATCAAATGATATATTTTCAGGGTGAATTACCAAGAGGAGAAGAAGTAGCTGTGAAGAGACTAGCCGAGAGTTCTTGGCAAGGCATTCGGGAATTCAAGAATGAAGTTACTTTAATAGCAAAGCTCCAACATCGGAATCTTGTGAAGCTCTTGGGATATTGCATTGAAGGAAATGAAAGAATACTAGTATATGAATACCTGTCAAACCACAGCCTAGATCATATCATTTTTGGTAAATTAATATCATAGAATTTCATGTTTTATGCATCGTACTCTTTTAGTTTTGCTATAATTTATACGTGGAAATGTGTAGATCAATTCAAGAAAAGACTCCTGATGTGGGACAATCGTTTCAAGATTATCAAGGGAGTAGCAAAAGGGCTTTTGTATCTCCATGATGATTCTAGGCTAAGAATAATTCACCGTGACCTAAAAGCAAGTAATATTCTGCTTGATAGTGAAATGAACCCCAAGATTTCTGACTTTGGATTGGCAAGAATTCTTGCAAGTGAGAAAGGGGAAACGACAAACCGAGTAATCGGAACACAGTAAGTATATATATGTGTAACAGATTTCTAGGTAAAAAAACACAACTTCATGTGTATTGGATATAAACTACTTGCTTTCTTATGTGCACACATGCAGCGGTTATATGTCTCCAGAATACATAATGAATGGCCATTTTTCTACCAAGTCTGATGTTTACAGCTTTGGTGTTTTGGCGTTGGAGATAATAAGTGGGAAAAAGAATTGGGGATTTCAGCATCCTGACCATAACTTGAACCTGCTAGGTCATGTAAGTAATTAAATCTATGATTCATCATGATGTGTAGATAGGTGGCATATATAGTTTTGTATTCTGATTAGTAGAAATTATATCAGATTAATATATGTGTGTGTGTGTGTGTGTGTGTGTATGTTGCAGGCATGGAAGTTGTGGACTGAAGGAAGGTCCTCAGAACTGATGGAACCTGTATTAGGTGACTCAATCATTCAGGAGGATGAGATTGTAAAGTGTATACATATTGGTTTGTTGTGTGTCCAAAAACAGCCTGAAGATCGACTTACAATGTCTGAAGTGGTCAACATACTACAAGGTGAACATTGTATTAATGTGCGCCAACCAGATGAACCTGGTTTTTTTGCAGGAAGGTCTATGATGGGACTAGGTTTTTCTACAACTGCAGAAAGAGATCTTGAAAGTGTAAATGAGGTAACAATGACAACTATAAGTGGAAGATAGTTGAGTTCTGAAGAACAAAAATGTATGTATATCCTTTTAGATGAGTGGGATACATGGATACATATATGTAGAGAGTAGATACTTTGCAGATCTATAAAAGCATGCATACAGCGATCGATATATGCATTCCTGAATTTAAAAAACTGGAATGGAATGCAGATATCGATCATCTTCACTTGTTGTTTATCATGTATACAAATGTTGACAACTTTTCAGTTTGTGCATGTTACTGAAAGTAATCTGAAAAAATCAGCTTTGTTACATTAGCGCATATCTCCTTTCTCAGCTAAGGACTGAACAAGAGATTTTGAAAATAAGTAATAGTTCCCCTTTCGCTGCACCTTGTTGTTGCACAAGGCACTTCCTATCATTAGGCTGTTAATGTGATTCTTCATTGATTTTATGTTATTAGCAATAGCAAGGAAATATCTTAAGTTTCCATCTACTATTTAACAACTGTAATTGTGCGATTTCAAATCTGGAACGAACATCAATTACATGTAGCTACATTTGTGATCGGCTCGCATGGTTCATGTTTGAGATTTGCAACTTCATCATCAGGACTTCTGTATGCCGAGCTAGCCTCAGATCCGTATTGCTTTCATCAGTGCCTCAATGTCACATTTGGGTGCTTACGGGTTTTATAAACCAAAATAAGGCTTATACGATATTAAGACTTCTTAATCATTATTCCATTTATGTCAATATTTACACCATTAACGATAGCGATTGATCGCATTTTTCTCCATTCTATTGCATTGTAACATCATCATTAATCGTTATGTAACATAAGATTGTTTTAGATGGGACTAGCCAATGGCTAGCTAAAAAGGATTACATTAGAGAGAAAGCCAATTGGGATATCTTGCGAGTCACAACTATACTTTTTAGATCTATCTGAAATCCATCTAAATAATTGAATCACAATTATGTCAAACAAAGTATCGACTTCGCGACTTTTTCTCCTTGAAAACAACAACATTTCAATAGCTTCATATAGCCCCAAAAGTGTTGAGCACCACTACACCCATACATCTTCTTGAACTCCTACATCTGAACCGTTTAGGAGAAGGGATGTCCATATACGAGGGATTCTGAATATTACACCTTAGCCTAAAGCGAGATGGCAATATGACATGGAGTGTAGATAAGGGATCCCCTATTTCAATTGTGTTGTCACATGATAGGGCAACAAGATAAGTGAAGACCAATGCCCCAGTGATGACCCACATAGGGAGATGATTAACAGCAATCCGGCAAGACAAGCCATATATTTATATATGAGCAAGGTTGTCCCATTAGACCTTGTTAATTATCGAAAATATCAAGTCTTACGCTTAATGAGAAACCTCAAGCACTACTAGAAAAAAAAATGACGGCCATTTTCGTCGGTAATCCGTGTCGTTTTTACTAACGGATTTCCGACAAAATTACTTCCATAAGAAAAAGGGTTGTGGGAAACCATTTACAACAGATTTCCAACATAATTAGTCACAGATTTCCGATGGAATATTTTGTTTTTGAGAAAATGGGGTTTGGCTAACTTTGACCATTTTTGACAGATTACCAATACAATGGGGTTTGTCAACTTTGAGCACGGTTGACCAGGTTTCACCATTTCTGACGGATTTATGACAGAATAGGGTTTCATCAGCTATGACCCGGTTTGACCATTTTGGTGGATTACCAACGGAATGTAATGGTCACTACTTATTATGGTGTTTCTAGACGTTATGTTTCATTACTTTCGAAAGGTGATTTATGATGAATTTCTAAGTTCTATGTATACCTCTATGGTGTTATATTACAAAGGTATTTTCAACTATTTCCGAGGGTTTGATCGTGGGAATGGTTGGTCACACTCAACCAATGCCCTTAAAGAGTCCACCGCAGGTAAAATCACGATACTTTCCAAAGCCTTACGCTTGTAGTCTGACTCGGTTTACATGATGTTGTTAGAAATAAACATGTTTTTTGGACATTTTAGAAGATTTTGCCTTGTATGACTATACTTTACCGATGTTTCATGATATTCAGTTGTTACGTCCTCACATTTTTAAACAATTATGTTTTGTTAAACTTTTGGGACCGAATATTCCACAATTATAACTTTTAAGTGATTGTTTGGACTTCGTAAACTTTTATGGTTTATATTTGAATTTGTTAAAAATGAACTTGTAGACTCTTTTTAAAAGAGTCCATATATAAGAGGGTTGTTTCAATTGATATCACAACAATGATTTAAGTGAACTAGGTGCTATTTAGGAGACTTCAATTCATAGACTTAAACTATAGTTCGCTAGGGTAATTAGGGATCTATGAGTTCAATCTTCTATATATTTAGTAATTGACACTACTTTAATCCATCATTTTTTTTTTGCAAACCACATACCGAATTAGCAATTTACCCCTCATTCTATACAGAGAACTACAAAAATGATCTTTGCAGATTGCTGTTTTTTCGATGGAGTCCAAAATTTTGAACTTTGAAATATTTTTTGTAATTAATATAATGTATATATCAACATGTGTATATCTAACGTTTTAATAACTCAACTAAGAGGGTGTTTACAATCCAAAATCTTCGCAAAAGTTTAAATAAACCGTAAGTTTAAATAATTCAATATGCTAACTCTATGCTTCCTTTTCATCTACGAGTACATATCAAAATAATACGTTAGGCTTGGAAAGCCTAGTGAGCGATACCGAAATCCAATTATGGAATATAACTGGGTAATAACGATAACCCAACTCCCAAGTCAAGATAGGTATAATGTTTAAATATTTAAGTGATGCCACCAAATGTAAATTAAGTTTGGAGAGTTTTTATCTGTTGTAGTACATGTGTTCATATAGCAGGATCTTAGGTGCATGCAAAACTTGGTATGCGACATAAAACTGACAGCTGAAGTTGTATCGATATAAACCAACAGTTATTCTAAATTTAACAATTAAATAAAAAAACTTGTTCTTAGTGTAATTCATTCTTATTTTACTTTGATTAAACAAACAAAGTCATTTAGATAATAAATTGAAAGACTTTAATAACTAACCTAAAACAAACTCGAAATTCAAGTGTGAAATAAGCTAGGTTGCATTTGATACAAGGGACAAACTTTTTTATGATAAGGACGGGAAGGGCATTTATGTCTTTTCCACATACAAGCGAGTCTCTGAGTCCTGGGTCACAAGTACCAAAAAAAAATATAGGATTGTTTAATTTGAGAAATCCCATCCCAGGGATTTCTTTTTATTTTTCTGGTTCTTGGTAACCATTGGTTTCAGATGCAGCTTTTGCATCTGATACCTCATTGCTGCTTTTACTTTCTCCCGTAGCTTTTGCCTGCCACATTTATTCACATTTCTTTTTAACTTAATGTAGAAAAAAAGACTTAATAGAAAAATTCAAGGAAGTGGGTCCCATTAAGAATACTATGTACCTTGTTCCTGTCACGCCAACCAAGTCCAAATGAAAGTATCCCCGGCCTTCTTCCAGCTGTGTTAGATTCCGGACGAATTAACCTATATATTTAAAAAAAAAATTAACATATAGTAATAATAATAATAATAATAATAATAATTGTAATAATATATAGCAATAGGATAAGTAGCCTTACCCTGTTGGTTGTACTGCTTTGACTTGGCCAGAATTGTATTGCATTGTTGCCTCTAAAGTAGATTCCGCCATTACAACTCTCTTTTCCATTTGAGCAAGAGTATACACAGCTTCTTCATACTTCCTCTGCATATAACATATATATATATATAAATAAATTATCTACTTTTCATCCATTTGATTTCATTTGTTGTAGAAGAGTAAATTAATATTTGTTTATAAAGACAAGAGTAGAAAGGATTGGGTACCTCAAGTACATTCACTAAATATCTCTGAGCAGCTGCATCTTGCTCTGCAGATTTACGAGCATCTTCTGCCACCTTCTGTTCTTGCTCAACTCGCATTAAAACCTAATTAATTAATTAATATAAAGCACATTTTAAAGGTTTAGATCCATCTATATCAATATATATGAATAAATAACAACAATTAAAAATTAAAATGTTTATTTAAACCTCAAGCATTTTCTTCTCCTGTTCTTTCTTATCAGCAAGAAGTTGGTGCAACTCATTAACCTCTCGTTCCATATGCTCAATCTGCAATTTATTATATTAATAATCATTTTTTCCGTTATGTGTTGCCACATATAACATAAGGGAGTCCTTTTTATTTAATCAATAAAGTTGGTAGAAAGTCATGTTTACTAATGCATACATACCAATATAACATTTCCAAAAGCATACATATAGCTTCTGGTGTATATATATAAATTTTTATCAAGCAACAAAATGAGAATTTTTGCCAAATTAACCACTAATTTGGCAAATTTCTTTATATCAGTAATTTTCCAAATTAACCATTATATACAGTCAAAATGGTTAACTTGGAAACATGTCTGAAACTTTTATGGTTTAATTGGGAAACAATAAAGTATAAATGATTATGGTTAAACCACAAAAAATTGTCCAAAATACAATGGCACATCTGTAATTTCCCCAAATGAATATATACCTTTGCTGTCAATTCACGCCTATTATCTTCTTTAGCCATCTCCATGAGTGCTATCTCCAACTCCTCAGCTCTAAAAAAAACCATAAACAAATTTAGCAACAGAATTTATGCCAAAAGATTTCATAAAATCTTGAAAAATAAACCTTATTGTAGCAGATCTCTTGTCATCCAGCATTGAACACAACTGAGCCTTCAACCATACAACCTATACATAACATGTAAACTATTGATATTGAATAAATACAAGAAAGAGTATGTTGCTATTTCCTATAAATCAATAATTCGATTACCTGATCTTGAAAATCTGGAAGAGAGTCAACTTCTGTAGTCATGGCAGCAATATTGAGAGAGTCATCAGGTTTAGGAGCAGTGTTCAAATTTGTGTTGTCATTTGTTAATCCTTGTTTCATACTAGGTTGGCGTACAAGTGGCT